TACTTCGGTTTCCCCTGCCAATTTTCATTCCACCACATTCTCCATTATCATAATCACACGGGACAGGTACAATAGGCCAATCAGTGGCCGCCGTGCCGAGTGGAACCACCTGGACTCCACCCCCCCACTAAGCGAATTACACACATAATTGCGGATTGTAGTTCAACGCCTAAGCAGATAAATGTGTGTGTGTGTGTGTGTGAGAGGGGGGCAGAGAGAGAGAGAGAAACTGCTCATAAAATTGCGACGCCGTGGAACCTGGTAGATATTTGTCAGTGTTTGGTAAGGACGCACTGCCCAACAGGTTCGAAGAATAGACAAAAAAAGCAAGGAGCACGGAGCAAGATATAAGACTTAAGAAGAGCCACCGAAGTTCACCGACGTTCCATCGGAACATAAAATCTCCGTCTTCAGGTTCAAAGAGTCACTCAAGCATGCAGCATGATGTAGGCATCTTGGCTTACTTTTCGACCCTGAATATGAGATATTACATTTCTCCGAAACGTCGCTTAACTACTACCAGTGTAAACGGTGTCACACCCAGTAATATAGTACTCTCATTACTGCACTTTCATATAAAGTTTAACTGGTTAATGCCGTGTAGGGAAATAATCGCTGTTTATTGTGAGAACCATACGGAACACACAAATACACTGTGTGGGCAGAATGCAGAGAGAATTTTATTTCCATCCACTCATGCTCATAAATAGTTTATTTTTGTTATTGTGTCTTGTTTTGTTAAATTCTGTCCATTGGTACCCCCGTGTGGAGGAGGGGTCGAATACCTCCACCGTTACCCTGCAAGTCGTAGGAGGCAACGAAAGGGGAAGTCTGAAATCTGAGACAGTAAAATATGGTGGCGAGTCCCAAGGGATTCGGACCCGAGAAAGATCTCGCTGGCAAGGACCAGCAGCATATGGAAAAGACAGACCCGTCCTCTCGTCAGAGAGGGCGTCCCACAAGAATAAGACCGTAACTGTCAAACGATAATAATTAATATCTGATCATGAGCCCCTGATGGGGCTCGACACAAAGACCTAATGACTGACTGACTGACTTACCGTCAGTGGCAATGTGACTTTTACTTTGACATTCACTGTCTATTGCCTCTCATAAGTTATTAAATTTAATTACGTTTTCCAGTTATTTTCTTTGCTTTTTTATATTGTCGCGTGTCTTGAGCGTATATCGCGACAAATAACTTCACGCCGTATTTTATATAGCGAATTTTATTTCACATTCGCACTTACAATCACCCAAATTACAGATTTACGATTAAAGCTATCTGCAGTATCACAAATAGTACACTCCAAATGCCAGAATACAACTGACTAGTTGCTGGCTAACTCGGAACTAACTCGGAGGTAGCTCGAGGACTGACTGTGAATAGCCTTCGCTGCTCCTCATGTAGCCTCGATCGGACAATACAGAAAACGGCCACGTAATAAGCACCCTTGTTGCCTGGCGCTGTGTTGCTGGCAACGCTAGCGGTAGTAACCGCTGTTACTACCGTCGTCTCTCGCAATCCTGTTTCCCCGCGCTGCCTAGCAACCCGCGGTACCCTTGGTGACGTCATCGCTGTTGACTCGCGTTGCCTAGTGACCAGGATGCTAGGACTCGGCTAACTTCGGCTCACTTCGGCTTCGCTCGGCGCATCACGTCTGGCGGGGGGGGGGGGCGTCATCCATAGCTCAACATGTCACAATATTATTAATATCAATCATAGAGAGATGTCACAAAACTAAAATATTTCATATATTCGACTACCATTGTTTACGAAGATTATGTTGATCATATTTATATAAATATACTGCCGTTAGTTGATAACAAACCAAGCACTAGTACTATATTTCAGTTTAGACGCCATTTTATTGCAATTGTTATAGGAAATATCATAAAGGAAAACTTGGGTTTGAATATATAGGATGTTCCATTCAAACCTCCCATATTTTATCAGATCGTAGAGTAGAAAGTATGAATGGTAGAGAAGAGAAGCTTCATGATATAAAAGGACAACTCAAGGCATTTTATTTGACACTAATTAACCTCTACATGTGCACCATTGGTAACACGAACAATATCCAATCTGTATTCAATTCCTTGCCACGTTCTTTCCATCATGACCATTGGCAGATTAGCAATCTTTTTACGGATGCGGGCTTGTAAATCATAGCGGTCATTCACTGGAGGCACGAACACACCGTCCCTCACGTAACCACCGAGGAAGAAATCGAGCGGAGTGAGGTCCGGTGAACGTGGTGGCCACAGAATTGGTCAGCCACGTCCAATCTAGCTATCTTGGAAGGTTACACTGTGGGATCTCCGAGTATCCGGACCCAAATGTGGGGGGGGGCTCCATGTTGTTGGAAGATTATGTAGGGCTGCAGATCGGCTACCTGGGGATACAGGAACACTCTAATATGTAAAGGTATACGTGGCCATAAGAAAAACGGGAATAAGATTCTTTGAGTTTCTCTTTCATCTACTGTTAATTATAATCCATAATTTATCACAATTTGTTCGCAATGATTAATTAAAATGTGGGAGGTTTGAACGGAACACGCTGTATAACACAGAAACATTTAAGACATTTACGGCCGTAAAGAGAACATATTGAATTAAGCGAAAGTTGTTTCTTTTCTTTCATTTGACTGTTTACTTGTGTAAACAGTGTTGTGTATATTAGTGATCGCAAGTAATAAAGTAGTTGCAGGGATACATCAATGTCGATTTAATTAGAAGCATTGGTAGCCACAGGAACATTGTTCATACTTATAGTTGTATGTATGTGACCGATCTAAAAATATTTACGACTTACCTCTAGTTTATAAACACTTCTATGCAATTCTATGGAGCCGTCACTAATATAGGCAAACGTAAATTTGTTCCTGTGCTTGAATAAGCAAAACGCCATGAGGACGCATAGGGACAAAAGTGGTGAGGTTCACCCTCGGTTGCCTTCCCTACCGAAAGCGCATCTCGTACCCATTGATTTGTGGTCGTGAGACCCAGAAGCACGCAGAGACAAGCCCGCTACTGCGGAAAATCATAATGTGTTCATTTCTGATTCATTCGGTCATACAGACTGAGTGGTCCCTCGCCCTGATTATATGAGGTAAATTTAATGTCAATAGAATTTCCACATTATCATCATCTTTAAGAATAAAGATGATAATCTTTATTCTTAAAGATGATAATAAATGTAGGATGTTCTACTTGACCAAATATAGGAACGGATGCATCCTCGAGATTGAACTATGACTGCAGACGGTATTACGTTTCGTAACATGGCAATGAAAAGTAACATGAAGTAAACACGCCGGATTTTTGAAAGCGCTGTCGAACAGGTCCCTAAGCTGTTCTTATTGACTATAGAGTGCTCCTCGCGTCACACAGACCCAGTCTGCTGAACGTTCCCCTGATGGGTAGAGCAGTGTCTGGTTGGTCTGGTTGTTGTGTGCAGTGACTGGCCATGAACCCGTGATACCCGACATCATTTTCGGATCAGGAGTCTCAGGACTCAGCCTCAGGTAAGCCCTCAATTCAGTGGAAATAGTTTAAGAGACAGTAGGCGGATTTTCTTTTAAGGCATGTGGAATTTTAGACAAATAAAAGCACCTAATTCAATGTCAGGTATTGTAACGCATTCTCTTATGTAAGGTAATAAATGTTTTGAGCAGATTAAGGGGCACGAGGCAGTTCGCTGAGGCACTATGCTAAAACCCTGAAGGTCGGGAGTTCGATTCGCGATGAGGTCATTCATTTTTCATTTTTTGCTGAACTATGGTCCCGGGTTTGACTCAGCCTATAAAAGAAATTAATACTAGTCATTTTCTTGGGGGGGTAAAGGGCGGTCGGTGCATAATTCTGACAACCTTGCTGCTAACTGTGAGCCGATCTTCTAGAAGATGTGAGAGCCTCGACCATACACACTCCCGTGGCCCTCACGGCCTGTTTTACGGGCAAATTTACCTTTCCTTTAAATACAAATTAAATTCGAGCAATTTTAAATGTATAAAGAGTGTATGTTCTTTGGCAGACGGAACAGTATAAACCACGGTCGGCTGTCTTTTGCTCCCCATTATACATAACATCGTATCCCGGAAATAGGAAAATAAATTTAACAGGAATGGCGAATGTTACAAATATATATTGCCTATTCAAAATTCGTGTTCACAGGTTGCTACGAAGTTTCGACATTGTATTTCAACCCACATTTTCCTGTGTAATATTTTGTGTATATCCATATTAGTTCAACTGCAACTCTTTCGTGCGTGCCCACTTTTTCCTGCATAATTCCCCCCATTCCAGAGGCAAATGTTTATAGAGAAGCGATGGAATTCATATTTTCATATCGATGGATTCGTACGCTTCAAACAGATGGATTCAGAGGAGCGTTGCTTGTTGAGATTGTAATTTCGTTTGATGAAGTAGGAAGATATAAATCGCGAGATAATTTTGTGAATTCTTTGCATAGGAATCAGGATAATTCAAAATGTTCTGCATTCAGATATACATAATTATTGAGTGTGGGTAATTTTTGCTTAATTGTATTCTGCAACTGAATGTGGACCAAATTCGTATTAGTGCTAACTCTCACCGTTTTGGGTACCTTGCCCGGGATGTTGTTCAAGGAAAAAGGGTTCCTAATTACTTTATGATCATTTATTTTTAAAACCTGTGGTTTCGAATTCCACTTGAGCCATTTTTGTCTGTTTTGCATTTATTCTTTGGTNTGGATGGCGCGGTTTGAGAGTGTACAACATATCCTAAGACTCCTGGGAATAAATATTTAAGCAACTCTTGAAAAATATAGAAATCCATGAAGATTTGTGTTCCGCCAGTTTTAAAAGAATTAAAAATTCCCCCTTCTTAGAAATATTCCAAAAATTTAAGCTTAAAAATTTAGAACATGAATTTACCAATCTTGCATTGCTAGGCTTAATTTTATATATACTTTAATTATATGGACAAAAAACATTATTATTATTATTATTATTATTATAAAGGTTGTTATAATAATTTGTGTTCAAAGACAACGAATATTTCAAGGAGACCCATCCCGTTTGTTGCTGCCTCTGATTTAGAAGATAATCTCCTTTCCTTGGACACTTGGTCCAGATCTTTCCTTAACCACATAATGGACGTCAAGGGTATAACCTGGTATAAGGACTGCATGATAAATTGTACATGGACCTACAGAGGAACAGAAGTTCAGTTTACATGAAGGGGATTGTTGCTGTTACTGTTGGCTAAGTTTGTCCCAGCCACTGACGTGTTGCCTTCAGATTTATTGACAGAATATATGCCATTTTTACGCGTAATGGTTAGTAATGTGTCTCTTTAAGCGATAGCGCTGAATTGCCTGCAGTCGCGGGTAGTGTTTATAAATCACTCAATCCGAAACCCGTCTATAGGTAACTCAAAAACCCCCAACACATGACAATAAAAACAACCGTGTAATTTTGACCGTGCGAAAGTAAGATGAACCAGACTGTAGTGTAATTTACACCTGTCAAATGAAACACGTTTGATTATACTTTGGAAGTTACAGCTACAGAAATATTAAATAATGTATTTGAACATTATATGAATGAAAACTGCAAGTAATATCAGAAAGCGTTGTATACAAATTAATACTAAATCTTGTTGTCGCAGAACATTGTAAGTTGACTGACATAAATCCATATTATGCAACCAACGAATGAAGTGAATATAATAAGAGGCTAAGAATAATGCGGAGAAAACAGGCAAATTGGATACGTGATGAATATCAGACTTAACCGAATTATTCATGTGAGCGTTATTAAAACTTCATTATTTTAAGTTATGGCTTCCACAACCTGTCAAGTAGAGAATTCACAAAACACTCTGTGGTTACAATTTCAAATAAGAATTTCTAAGACATTTCGACGGGGTTTCTACCTTTTCTGCTGCACGTGTGGGAAGAGCCTAACTCTTACATGCCAACACACGTATAGACCTATGTCTCACTGCACTTGTTCATTGCATCCCATTGTGAACAATTATAATTTCTAAATGCAATTAATAAAGCTAATTACATTTAGATGGTTGCATAGCAATGGTACGGTTACATTTCTCCCAAGCGAATCTTGGTTCTGTCATGCAATAAAATGAACCCAAGAATCGTCTTGCTTGCCGGTTCTTACCTTTGTTAAGATAATGCCCTTCAATACACAGACTTTATAACATCAATTCTGTACCCCTTTTCTATTCTTGTTTTAGAATTACATCTCTTAAATCTACTATTATTTGTAATTATTTAAAAAGTCTTAATTTCTAGCTGATGCATGAAATAAAATGAACGAACCACACACATACATGATTAATTGTACAAATACTGTTCGCCTCTCCCTTCCACTCCTTCCGTTGTTTGTCATTTATTTATTTATGCTTTCCTTTTTCATTTCCACTTCCCTTCACAACACTTCACTGCATCTTCATTGTAATTTATTCATTCGGTTTTACTCAGGTCGTTAAAATCAGCTACCCGATTCACTTGTTTTCATTTCTTTCTCTGTTTGTTTCTCTCTCTCTCTCTCTCTAAAGCTGAGTGACCTTGATAGCAAGGATCACCCATGTACATTGGGCTCTCACTCCACCCTACAGTTCATTCTGTCTATGCTATGACAATAAATTTGTGCCATTCATAATTTCCTTTATTCTTAGAATACCGTAGTGTTCAGTGTTCCTTTCTACTTCATTTAACTTTTCATTATGCGATTGAATCGTTATTCAGACTTTGCTACTGCTTTAATTCCTTTAATAGGATTTGATGTGTTTTATATTAAAGATTTCTCTTATTCGGCCTCCTGACTCAGTCATACAGACTGAGTGGTACCTCCCACTGATTACAAGGGGTAAATTTAATGTCAATAGAATTTTCGCATTTTCATCCTCTTTAAGAACGAAGAAGATATAACAAAGACAGAAACAACACCGTCTAGTGTGACTATTTAAGTTCTATCACTTGAAAACTCATCAAACTTTATCATCAAGTGATAAAATTTAAACAGTCACACTAGACCGTGCTGTTTTTGTCTTTGTAAATGTTAGTGTGACGGACCAGAATGAAACAAATCAAAGATAATTAATTTAGGATGTTCTATTTGAGCAAGTACAGGAACGGATTCATCCTCGAGGTGCACTATGACTGCAGACAGTATTACGTTTCGTAATATTGCAATGAAAAGCAACACGAAGTAAACATGCCGGATTTTTGAACGCGCTCTCGAACCGGTCCCTAAGCTGTACTCATTGTCCAATGAGTGCTCCTTGCGTCACACAGACCCAGTCTGCTGAACGTTCCCCTGATGGGTAGTGCAGTGTCTGGTTGTTGTGTGCAGTGACTGGCCATGAAGCCGGAACCCTCGACATCATTTTCGGATCAGGAGTCTCGGGACTTACAGCCTCAGGTGAGCCCTCGATTCACTGGAAATGGTTTAAGGGACTGTAGGCGGATTTCCTTTCAAGACATGTGGAATTTTAGACAAATAAAAGCACCTAATTCAATGTCCAGTATTATAACACATTCTATTGTGTTAGGTAATAAATGTTTTGAACAAATTAGGGGGCACGAGGTAGTTCACCGAGGCACTATTCTAACACCGGAAAGTCGCGAGTTCGATTTCGCGATGAGATTATTGACTTTTTGCAATTTATCTAATCCTTCCAGCTGAACTATGGACGTGGAGTTGACTCAGCCTATAACAGAAATGAATACCAGTTATTTTCTTGGGGGGTAAAGGGCAGTCGGTGCGTAAGGCTGACAACCTCACTGCTAAATTTGAGCCGACCCTCTGGCCAATGTGGGAGCCTGGACCATACACATCCCTGTGGCCTTCACGGCCTGTTAAAGGGGCAAATTTACCTTTGCTTTAGGTACAAATTAAATTCGAACAATTGTAAATGATTTAAGAGTGTATGTTCTTTGGGAGACGGAACAGTTTAAACCGCGGTCGGCTGTCTTTTGCTCCCTATTATACATAACATCGTATCCCGGAAATAGAAAAATAAATTTAACAAGTATTGCAAATGTTATAGGTACTATTTTCTATTCCAAATTCGTGTTCACAGATTGCTACGAAGTTTCGACAGTGTATATCAACCCACATTTTCCTGTGTAATTTTTATGTATATCCATATTAGTTCACCTGTAACTCTTTCGTGCATGTCCACTTTTTCCGATTCCCCCCATTCCACAGACCAAGGGTCTCCAAACTGCGGCCCGCGATATGATTTTATCCGACCCGCGAAAGGATTCTGCAGAAATGCGCCAATTGAACTAATTTTCCAATGAGTAGTGTTAAATGTGATTCCGAGCTTATTGACCTGACGTATTATACTGCAGTTGGATGGCTTAGCTGTGGGAAGGTTATTTCGCGCTTCTTTCAGATCAGGAATGAAATTGATATATTTCTTACCGAGAAAAACCATCACGAACCACTTTTATCAGATACCAAGTGGCTTTGGAAANAAAAATTATCATATTAAAAACAAATACAAGGAA